AAACGATTCATTTGAAGCAAGGACATTGCCCTGCTGGCTTTCTGTTTTTTGCACATAGAGCCACGGGCTGCAACGCCTGCAGCCGGGCTCGAGCCATGTGAAACGTCGGGCGCGATTGTCGCAGCTCAGGCTTTTGTGTCCTTCTTTGGTGACCTCAGCTTACTGCGCTAGATCCAACTGCAGCTACTGCTGCTGCTGCTGCTGCTGCTGCTGCTGCTGCTGCTGCTGCTGCTGCTGCTGCTGCTGCTGCTGCTGCTGCTGCTGCTGCTGCTGCTGCTGCTGCTGCTGCTGCTGCTGCTGCTGCTGCTGCTGCTGCTGCTGCTGCAGCTGCAGCTGCATGGCTACCACTACATACTCGCTAGCGCATCTGGTCACACACACTGTAGGACAAAGCAGCGTGGCAAATCCCCAGTACAATCAAATAAAGTAACGCAGTAACGAACGCCAGAGCGCAGCAGTTCCTAGAAGGACATACTGTTGCGTTTCGGTCTCCAAGAAGGGAGGGCTGATTAACGCGCAACGGCCGGCAAGCGCAAACCGTAGATACACGCGGACATGATTGAATCCGCATGCTCTGCCTGCTGCGCTCCTGCTGCAGCGTGGCGGCTGTAGCAACACCAGCGCAACTAGCATGCAGCGTAACGCTGCACCACTACACATACTGCTTAGCTGATTCTTGCCGGCACGCGGCCGTTGCGGATGATCAAGCCCAAAAGTCCCAAAAGACTGACACGCAACATGCTGGGAACTGTTGTGCTCTGGCGTTCGTGACTGGGATTCACCGTGCTCCCCTGTCGCATTGCGTGCAACGGAACCAACTATGCCCAACCACAAGCGGCGACCATGAGTGGGGATGTCTCAGATCGGCTCAACCCGGCAAGGTTTAGGGTTTTGGTCTCGCCTGTGGGCTTTGAGGGCAATTTGAGGGTCTTCGAGATGCACTCCTGCAGGTGACGCTGGGTCTCATGGCAACTTACCAGCTGACTCTTCATCTATAGAATCCAAATCACAACTCTTGATCGCCAACCCATGACCAGCGGCCCTTAAATCCCCAAGCTAGCGGCCCAGGGCTTGGGATTGAAGTTGCCAGTGCATTGCTGACAACTGACCTGGGAGAGAAGAAAACTGCCTGAGTTGCAAACCCTTAAACCTAAGCGGCCGAAACATCAAGCCCAGCCACAAGAAGCTCAGCAAATTCAGGAACTCATCCATGCTGTCCTCCAGGAAGTTGGGGTCCCAAGGCGAACGAAACTACAAATTGAATCGCCCGAGGGAGATGTGTCTGAACCCCGACGTGGTCCTCCATCATCTCGCGGAGGCCAACTGCCACCTTTGGGAATCTTGGGAATCTTGCAAAGAAATTGCGTTGTCGGGGGCTCAAGATCCTGGCGCAGATGAGCAACGAGGAAGGGCTTCCGGAATCACAGAGGCTGAAGTGTGCAGCGTGGCTTTGATGAGTCTTTGATTGATCAAAGCCTTTTTAGGGCTGAAGCTCTACTGGGTCGTGCTGGGGTGTTTGGTCCCATTTCCATCCGAGAGGCCGAGGAGGCCATGGCGAGGGCGGTGTGGCCTCGGAAGCTCAGGTTTTGGGTGTTTTGGGCAGTCTCGGCGCAGAAACCAGACCAACCCTTACACACAGCCAAGGGCTGCTTGCGGTAGGGCAGAACGGCTTGTTTCGGTGGCCTTGGCATGCTGCGGCCACAAGGACTTCAAGGCTTGCCCAACATCCCCTCCCTTGAAGCGGGCTGCGTGATTCTCTGGGGTAGGCACCAGGGGATTTCTGCACCCCTGAAGGGGGAGTTGGGAAATAATGGCTTTGCTTCAATAACCGGAAACAGCTGATCAGCTAATCATATCCAACCCTAAAGTCCGGAGCCCTCAAAACGAGGCTCTTGCAAATGGTGTAGATTGGCTCTGCAGTCAACCGCGGCGATCCAGGCTGCGCCTTGAATGTTGGTGGTTCGGAGTGAAAGAAGCCTAGAAACGCGGCGCTGGGAACGTCTTTGACGCCTGAGCATGGCACGCTTTTCTTTAAGCTAAGACCCAACTTACATTGCGTTCCACACACACACACACCTTGACCAAGTCTTTACTAAGACCACAACCTTGATTTGCTGTGCCACCACACCTACAACGACTCCTCCGCACAGCACCCCAAACGCATCACCACACCATCACAGCACCAGCAACCAAACCATCGCCACACGCATCACCACGCCCTACAACACCCCACCGCAGCTCACCATGCCCAAACCACGCGTCCAGCACAGTGCCACACTCAACCACCACTGCCGCCCAACATAACCAACGACGCAATCCCAATGGCCAACACCACCACCACCAGCACCACCTCCACATATGCCTTTCACCACCACCACGAAGATGACGATGACGATGACGATGACGATGAGGCTGCTAATAATCTTCGACCGGCTGACTTCCGGCTTGTCGGAAAAGCCGAGATCCCTTAGCCATCAAGTCTCAATCCTATCCCTGAAAACCTCAAGCCCTCAACCTCCAGCCTTGGAATACCCGCAGCAAAAGCCCCAGAAGCCCCAGCCTCGTAGCGCACGATCTCAGAAGACGCCTGATTTGCAGGAAGGTTTTGGCTTCACGGCTTAGGGGGTGGCTTGTTTAGGTTTCATACTTTTGTTGTGCCGGATTTGCATTTCGTGGTCTGTCAACAAACCTGAAACCCAAACTTAACTGTCCGAAATTGTGGGGCGACGGTCGCACCTGCAAGGGGAGCATTGGCAGCATTGGCCGCGCATCCGCCATGGGCAGTACCAGGAGTGAGGTCTAAACCGCTACGCTTCTTGATGCTGAGTCACGGTCATGCTGATCCCCGCTCGCACTCAAGGCAGGCCCATGCAGAGTTGCGAGTCCACTGAAGAGCAGAGTACGCAAGAGAAGTAGAGGTCAGAAGCGCAAGTGTAGAGAGAGAGAAGAAGGAGAAAAGAAGCAATGAACCTATCATATGCAAACATGCTGATTCTGCACCTCCATCGCAGAAATGTGCCCGCGCTTCTGGGCGAGAGACGTCAAAGCCTGTCAGCTTTGTGGCTGCGCTGCACTGATATGCAATGGGTGCAACAGGACATGTCTCCGACACACCGACAGAACTGCAGTTGCAGATCCAGTTGTCGCACGTTCCCTCTCTGTTCGTGGCTGTGCATCTGCAAGGTATGTCGCCTCTCAATCGATGCTTTTTGCCAGAATTGGCGACCGCGGTGGTGGTAACTACACGCAGATGTAGATGCTAGCTGCTACGAGGCCAGTTCAAAAAGAATGTTTCTTTGTTTCAGAACTCCTAGCACACCTGGGAAACGAAAGCAAGAGCACGAAAAAAAAACTCCCTGGGAAACGAAAGCAAGAGCGCGAACAAAAAAGAATCAACAGAAAGAAAGCGCACGTCGCAGCTCCAGGCCTGGCCTGTGTAGCTTTGGACGTCCAAGGACGGGACTCTCAGCCAGGGCCAAGGGATGGCGTTTTCCGGCGCAGGGCTGCTTCCACAACTCTCCGAACCCATGCCTTCTTTCTTCTTTATATTAGTTTCTGGCAGATAAAGCCAACCTGTGTCAACAATTTGCAGGGCCTTTGCTCCCGTGTCTCCCATATGCTGTGCACTGCGCAATCAATGCAAAACGAGCAGGGCATCTCGGCCGTTTTGGGTGACTGAGCACCGTCAGCATGCCACATGGTCTACTCTGAGAGTCTACGCAACTCCTTCCGAGCTGATCACTTCAGAATACCTTGCGCCTCTCCCGTGGCCTTTGCCTGCAAGACGATGCAGGTGACATCATGTTCCATGTCGAGAACCTTCTATGGTCATGCAAACCAAACCTTGTCCATGCACCATACCGTCGACTGGTCAGCGGCTCCGTGGAAGGCGAGACAGAAAGTGGCACCTCGTCGAAGGTGTGCAGAGCTCCCGTGATGGACCTGCAAGCAGGAGGTGGCTTCGACTGCCCTTACCACCAGGCAGCGCCAGTGCAGCGTCCATGCAACCGTCCATGAAACAAACAAGAGTTCAGGTGGAAGGCAGCATGCAGGGTCCGCAACCGCGCCATGCGATATGATGCTGTGCAGCTTTGTGTGTGTTGGGATGCTTCGGGCCAGCTTGGGCTGGCATGGGCCTGAGCGTCTGAAGGAACTCCGCGCTCGGCGCCTCAGGCACCGAATCAGTTCGTCTTCAACGGCAAAAGCGTGTAGCTGCATGAAAGAAACCTCCTCTTCCAAGGAAAAGTCACAACATGATTCGCCGATCTCGCGCTTCCCTGTGACCGATCAGACCAAGCAAGAAACGCATGGACCACACCCCGAAACTTCGCCACTGTAGGTTTAACATCCCTTCCCTTCCTGCCTCTGGTTCCGCAGGCTTCGCCTCTCGATGACATGGCACACAAGACACCAGGAGCCCTGAAAACTGTTCCATCGTTGTCGCAACCGATGCGGCTGTTCAGGGTTTGGCACTTGGAAGGGTGGGCAGTTCTTTCCCCGAGCAGCTTAGCACGCGCCTGCGCAGGGTTGTCGCAAACCCCAATGAAGAACTGATTGAGCAATCGAAGCGAATACCTTCGGACACGGACATGACATGCTGATACGCAACCCAAGATGCAAAGCAAACGCAGCAGTATCCAGCAGACCAGTCCGTAGTGATCCATAGTGATCCACACAACATCAGGGAACTTCGCATGCACGAAAACTTTTTCGACGCTCAACCTGCTCGTGAACTGCTCCAGGTCTGTGCACTCGAGGTTCCATCACGCGGGCCGATCACAAGCAATGCCCTCCCAGTGTTCGTGTTGAAGGCACCGCCGGGCGTATGCCCAAGAAGGGAAAAGCGCCGACATTCTTGCCCAGCCACGACACGGTCGCAGCAATGTTGTACTGCTCGCCCGCCCTCTCGTCAAGCTACAAAGCTCTGCATTCACGAAGCTGTCTGATCCACGTCTCACCAAACTCTCGGGTAGGGTGTTCTGCCTTGCACCGAATGACTCTCAGGTCATTGGAAGTGGGTAGCCGAAGTTGACAAAGTCCGCAGCATAGTAGGCACCTGCGAGACAGAATAAATGTGAGCGCGCCAACCAGTCTATTCATCTTCATTTCGTGCAACACGGGGCACGAATGTAAGCCAGCGTCTCGTTGCTGATATTCCGCTTCGTGAACATTCTCTTCCCCCCACCATTGTCATGGCGGAGTCCTTAACAAAAAGTCTTAACCAGACAGAAGGCACAGCAAGTGTCGTCTGTCTGAGCAGCAACTTGGTGTCCAAATACATATGTCACTGCTCGAGCATGCAAGGCATCGATTCTGGACCATCACATAACATTCCCATCGCTATCGCCATAAGAAGAGAGGAAGCAGCAGTCTAGAGCCGGAGTGCATCCAAGTCTCTTTTGAGGGTAATGTTGTAAAGTCCAAGCCTGGGCAACAGCGCGTCCAAGCGCATGAAAACACTGCTTACAAGGAGAACCTTCAGCCTTCAGCTGCAACCAAGCAGCACAAAGCGCAAATCAGCATCCAAGTTCTCGAAGCGGACAATGTGCTGGGTGACATTGGGATCCGCATCGAGGTAATCCTTGCCAGGTTGCAGGTTCCGAACACGAAGTCCACATGCGATGTGCTCTCAGCTACAGCAAACAAGAGGCCGTCATCATGATAAAGTGGCCGCCGGGTGTTCCACCTTGACGGAGCCTGCCCTGCGAGGGAGGTTTTGGGCGTTTCCTAGAATAGGGGTTTTTCCTGATAAACCACAAAATACTAAAGGTGACCCTGGTTTGGAAACCGCATTTTTCCTGACAGATTCCCAGAAGCTTCGCATTGTGTCTGGGGGTTCTGGCCTGAATCCAATCATTGAAGTCTTTCTGGGTGTGGAATCTGGACTGCATGTAGTTCACGCCCTCGAAGCCACAGTGATACCTCAGAAAAGACGCGAGAAGAACCATGGCAACGCATGCTGAAGATGGCTTGAGACCCTTGGAGCTTGTGATCGGGGCCGCGAAAGCTGGACGATGCTTTTTCGTCGTGCGCAAGGGCTTTCGCTCCCCCCGCCATAACTTCAACTAAAGCGGGGAGGGTGGGGTGGGGCAGCACGTTCCTTTAAGTACTGATAAATTAAGAGATAAGGCCTCGAAGCCGTCTGCGACCACCCAAAAAAGAGCTTGCAAACCACAACGACGCAAAAACTCTGAGGAACCAGGGCCGGCTTGAGGCTCCTCATCCACGAAAAGGACCCTCCGCCAACAGGACAGGAAACCCCTCCTTTTTGCTGCCAGAGCCTCTCGGAGACGAAGCGGTCGACAGGGTTTCGGCTCACCAGGAACCTTGGCCAGCCTTAAGCCTTCATAGGGTGCAGGGTTGAAGAATTATATTCGGAGCTTGAGGGGTTGGGGCTGGGCCTCTGAAAAAGGCTGGGTGTCGTAGTGCAAGGCCAAGGCGCCAGTCATACTTTTGGCGTTTCGCTGGTGGAAAGAACCTGCACAAAAACTGGTCGGAAGGGTGGTCGTTGATGTTGTGGCTTGCTCGGTTGCGGGTTGTAGTGTCTTCGCTCATGCCGCATGTGGCTCCGACCTCTTGCGGCCTGCGACTCACTATCTGCCGGTGGGCCTGAATGCACCGTGCTGGTAGCCATACTCGGCGCGGTCCCAAGCACCCCAGTGCAGCTGCTCAGGCAAGTGTATGCCCAATTCTTCGATGGAGGTCCCACCTCAGGGAAGGGAGGGTCGCCCCGCCCGGAAAAAGCAGATCGCTGCTTAGCAGACTGGGCATCGCCCCGTGAAAGGCCTGTCTTGCTGATATGGATGAACCTCAAGCTTCGCAGCAAAGAAGTCTTTGTCAAAATCGAACCCGCAAACTCTTCCGGGAAAGCCAAGGGCATTCTTGTTTGTCAGATTCTGCCGGGATGCTTGAGCCCTTGCGGCCCGGAGTGTCTGACACGCAGCGCAGACTTCAGCAGTTGAGGCGAAGGCTGTGGGTCCTTTGGTTCCTCGACACAATTTGCATCACTTGACACAGCGGAGACATGCACCATCCAGAGCCCGAACAGCTCGGAACCACTCGGAACCACGCCTTGTCGTCCTTGGTGGCCGGTCCCACATTCGCAGCTTCCGTCGTTGTGGTCCCGGCCTCCGGCTGCCTCGGCATGGAGGGCTCAGGCGTCGGCTTCCGGGCGACGCCGCGACACGCGCAAAGTGGCACGACAGCCCAGTGGCCTCCGAGACTCGGCCTGCAGCGCGCTGGCCTCCGCCGTTACGAGGAACAACGGGGGACTTCTTAGGTGTTAGGCCTGAGGCCTAAGGGCCCTTTGGGACAATCCTCTTGGCAATCCGCACAGCCTCAGCAGTGGAGTTGTCCTCAAGGACTTTGTGGCTGCCTCGCCCTTCTCGGCGTGAACCGAACGCGGCATCGCAGTACACAACCTCAAGGCAGAAAAAGGTGAAGTGAGGAAAATGGCCCCAGCCGAAGGACAGCCGAGCCCCCCCCTCCATCCCTCCATCCCCCCATCCCTCCATCCCTCCATCAGGGCTCACAGCTTTCAGTCGGAGGGCCGTCAGCGCACCCAGGCAATAAGCAAAGACACCCCTCAGTCAAGCACGTCAAGCACAGCAGAGATAGAGCTGCTCTTGAGATTCCCCGCCTGCGTGCCGGATTTACACATGTTGCAAGGCAGGTTTTTGGGCTCTTCAATATGTTCAGGCTGAGCCCTAAACCCCTAAACCCTATACCCTAAACCCTAAACCTTCAATCCTAAACCCTAAACATCCCTAAACCAGGGGGTGGACTCGGCGGCCAAGGCGCAGCAGCACCGATCGAAGACAGGAGCTGCCCCTACCGTTGGCCATGCGACGCGCGGGGGTGCCATTTGATGGACTCAAAGACTTAGTGGCGTTTAGGGTTTAGGGTTTAGCGTTTAGGGTTTAGGGTTGAACGTTGTTGTGCATGGTCTTGTTGCCGGCAGGAGATGGGTAGGCGTGGGGTGTGAGCGTGGGCTGCCTTGGACTTTCGGGCCTGTATCTGGGTGCCAGATCGCAGCATGCACCCTTGAGAGCCTTGTGATGACGCAACTGCCACATGCTGCAGCACAGGAGCTGCCCAGGCAATGGCTTCGGGCTGAACTCAGAGTCCCGCCTCAAACCCTCACCATGCGTCCGCTCGAAAAGGGAGGTAGCATCCTGGCTTGACAAAATGCAAAGCCAGGAAGGAGATCGAGCTCAAAGATAAACCCAGCAAGACAGCAAGACAGTGACCTTCACCCAAACCCTTGGGGTCCTGAGCTGCCGCATCGACAACCAGTTGTCCACCACCAGGATGCAGGGACAGGAAGGAAGTCACGTCATAGACCTCTGCAGGACCCAAGGCCCTAGCAATCACCCACATGCCCCTAAACCCTAAACCCTAAAGCCTTTAAACCCTAAGCCCTAAACCCTACAGCCCTAAACCCTGAACCCTATATTCCTAAACCCTGACCCCTAAACCCTAAGCCCAAAATGTGTTCCCATGTGCTTCACAGAGAGGCGCCTTTCCATCGATCAGCAGCCACAGGTCATCCTTGGAGCTGTGCCTTGCGAGGCCACACAGAGGTGAATCAGAATCCACGGTTTAGGGTTTAGGGTTTAACTTGCACAACAACTTACGGATGTAGCATGCATCACTCGGTCATTCTTTTGTCCTGTGGGGAGGTAGCGTCTCTGTCCCCGACTGTTCGTCTGTCACCTGGCTCTCTGAAGCAGAGCGGTCCTGGAGACCTGGTTGACTAAAGTTCCAAAATTGATGGGCTGCCAGCTGCTGGGCTCGGGCAGTCACTGCGCCCCCTGCGTGCTGGCCCACCTCCTGTTCAAAATGCCCTCTGCCACATTCTGGCAGGTTAAGCACAAGTGGTGGTGACTGAAGTCTATCGTTTTGTCAACGACTAATCCGGAAAAGACTGTACGACCGCAAAGCAAGCGATCCTTCGACACGTCCCTCACGTGTATGGTGCTGGAAGTCGGGTTCCGCAGGAAAACGTGCTGCCCAGACTGCACAATTGCCGCCAGTGTGTGGCTGCAAGCCTGAGCCACCTGCACACCAGTGTCATCTGACGCATCACTGCCACTGCTGTGTGATTCCAAGTCTTCACTGTCAGACTCTGAGCTGCTGCTTTCATGAATCCACCTGCCACTTCGCGTTGCGTCTGGATCAAAGCGGCTACGTCTGATGTCAGTGAGTACTGACTCCAGTTTGCGTAGGGGTCCTGCTAGGCTGTCTCGGCTGTAACTGTGCACGCTGGAGCCTTTGACCATATGGTAACCCAGCAAGGCGCGGTCGGCTTCATCTATCCCAATTTTGCTGCACCAACTCAATGTGGTCGCCTTCAGACTATGGCTGGACAGTTGGAGAAGACGATCCCTGTCAGGCTGTTGCTGCTTGGCCAAGATGGCCCTCAGCCATTTGGAAGCATCGCCGCTCCTCATGTTGCAAGGCGCAAGAGATCCATCTGCCAACACGGCCGGTTGTAGAGGGTGGTACTTGAGGCTACCCCCAATGGCGAGGCTCCAGTGTTCTCTCAGCTTCATCCACAGGGCTGCCCAAGACATGTCCACTACCCCTATCACAGGGGCCACTAACGGCAACATCATGTTGCGTCGTTTGCTGGCCTTTGTCTGTTTCGGATTTGACACCTTGCATTCCACATAGCCATACTTCCAGTCATGCTGCACATCCAGCATGACTTCCACTGCCCTGGTTAAGTCGCTATGCCTGGCTCGGCCGTACAGCATGAGGAGGAGCGATGTAGCAATCAACTTTTCGTAGCCATCGCCTGGTTCTTCAGCCACCGCGTGCAAGAACTTGACCTCCTCCACTGTGAGCGCTGGCGCTTGCTTCGGCGGTTTTTGTCTGCGCATGCACACATGTGCTAGACCTTCCACTCTTGCCGAGCGAAGGCTCTGTACGTGCACTGCCAGACCAATGGTGCCTTGTAGAAAGTTTAGTGCTTGCAAGAGCTGGTCCGGCCCCGAGCTATCGGGTCGCTGCTTCTCCAAGAACTTGACATACAAAAAAACGAGACATTCGCCTATGATTTCACCAGGAAAACATTTCAAAACCCACCTAGCAAACTTCGCCAAGGCGCTGACACGACACAAAAGTGTGTTTGTGGCCTTCTTTGCGAAAACCAGCTCCAAGTTGCCTAGTTCCACCTGTGTGTCCTCATGATGCAACTGAGCTAGTGACCCCGCTGGAAACAAGTGCGGCATTGTCCTGAGAAGTTGCGCCCATTTACTGAGCGCTGCCTGACGCTGTGCCTGTAAGTCCTGAGTTCTCATGGCCATCTGCAGACTGGCCGCTGGTCTGGGCACCTGAACCACCAGCTGCCGGTATTCTGCGGGCTTCTCTTCTGGCGGCTTGGGCACGGGCACAGGCAGCCGCAACAGATTCGCTTGCAACTGGCCTAGGTCGTGTGACGCCTGAGTTAAGAAGCCATAGGGGCCCTCTTCCCACGGCTGGCCCAACTGGGCCGGGCGCCTGACTGGACCGAATCCTAGTCCGTGATCCCAAATGGGATCCTGGATTCTTCTATCCATAGGGAGTGGAGGGTGGGCTGCTCGAAAAATTGCCTTGTGCCAAAATGGCACGTCGTTGATGCAGTTAAGGCAAGATCGAGGATGCTCAGCTTAACTTGCACAACAACTTACGGATGTAGCATGCATCACTCGGTCATTCTTTTGTCCTGTGGGGAGGTAGCGTCTCTGTCCCCGACTGTTCGTCTGTCACCTGGCTCTCTGAAGCAGAGCGGTCCTGGAGACCTGGTTGACTAAAGTTCCAAAATTGATGGGCTGCCAGCTGCTGGGCTCGGGCAGTCACTGCGCCCCCACACTTTCTTAGATCTGCCCTGAGGCCAGCAGCTCCAACCTCCCCACATCTACTTTTCTCTGCTGGGCCTCCCCAAGACCAATGGGCAAGCGCCCTCTACTGGGCGCATCCGCGGGGTTGCTCTCGCTGGGCACCCATGCAATCCACAAGCGCAACTGGTACTTGGCTTCCAACAAAGTCACTGCATGCACCAGGCTTGCAGAACTATCTGGATGCGCAGTGCCCGCTATGAGGCCATGACGCGCAGGATCGTTGTCAAGCCAGAGCGTGACACAGGAATGAGCTAGCCGAGGCCCCCACAGGTCCAAGGCCGCAGCGGCTCCTAAAAGTTCGGACTGAATGACTGGGTGCTTGCTGTGCTTGCGCCAAGCCCGCAGTAGGTTGTGCGGGATGCTGCTGCCCATCCACTCGCTGGGCACCGCACGTTCGTTGCACAGTACCGCACCTATCCCTGAGGCCTCGGCCTCCACTGCCCCATCTGTGAAAAGATGGAACTCTTTGGCACCCGGCAACCTAAACAATCTCGGTGCTGCCTTGGGGAACGTTTCCAGTACCCACTCCAGGGCGGACCTCAGCTGTGTTGTGAGGGGACGCTGTTTGCTACAACTGGGCGGGTTGCCGTGCTGCAGGATGCACTGCAAGGCCCTACGGCCCGCCCTGCCAAAAATTTGCCCATCCAACCACCTAAGTCTGCTTGCGAAGGCCGTGGCCTCCCTGGCCGACATTCGCCCGGACGTGAGGGCTTTTCGGCAGACCTCCACTACCTGCGCACATTTTTCCTCGGCGTTCGCCACCGCTACGACTTGGTGCACCTCACGGGGTAGGGAGAAAACGATGCCCAGGCTGACAAAATGCTGTGCAAAATCCTTGGCTTTGGCTCCGTCGGTGGCTAAATCCCAACCAAGAATTGACATAAGCAACTGAAAAGCCCCTTTGACGTTCTCAGCGTCCTGGCGCAAAGTCACACTTGTGAAGTCATCGTAAAAATGTGTGCTGGGAATGACTAAAAACTTCACCAGGACCCACCACAGCGCCAGACTGCACCTGATGAATCCATGCACTGAACCTGTTGCACCAAACGGTAGTGCCTGCAGGGCTAGCACAACTGGTCGTCTATGCTCCGGGCTGTAAACAGCTACTTTGGCAAAGGGCAAATCCTCAGTGTGAATGCCTAGTTGCTTGTATGCGCTACGCAAATCAAACGTCCGACCATCGAGGTCGACGGGTTCCTTGGCCGAGGCCATGAAATGAAGTGCTAGAGCAACGGTAGTAGAGACAGTCATGACTACTACCTTCTCCTCGCAACCCAAGGTCATGTTGACGTGGGAAATGGAAGTGTCGTCAATGGGACGCACCTTGTCCGGCTGTTCGACTGGGAACCTCTTCCCCAACACGCAAGAAGTTGGGGCTTGCATGTGGCCCGGCTCAAGCACTGCCCAACCTTTGGAACACTCCTTGAGAGTCTGTTCCCACAATGCTTGGTCAAGGCGTTGATCTGTGCGCGGTCCTACGGACTCCCAAATCTCGCGGTTGCGAGCGTCCCTAGCACCCCAAACGTCCTCTCTGGACAGAGTTGGTGGACACACTTTCAGGGGGCGGACCCCAGTGTCTGGCAGCCACCCGGTGATTCTGAAACCCTGAACGATGTCGTCAACCAAAGTTGAGTCTGGAAAATCCAGCGCTCTGAGTACTTCGCGGAGCAAGAGCAAACGCTTGGGTTTCAAGATACGCTTCAAGTGCGGGGCCAAGTTCTCATGAAGGAGCCTCTCTTCCTCATGCAACTCCTGGGCACGTGCAATGAGTGATTTGAGCCGTTGGCACCTGAGGTTCTGGGCCTCTCTTAGTGGTCGATGCGTCAGCTTGAAGACGGCATCCTGCAACACCTCGGGCAACGGGGGAAGCTTGTTCTGAGGGTGGGTGGTACAAGCCACCTTGCCCAGGAAGGCCTCTGGCTGCATGGGCTGACCAACTTCAGCCCAGAGAACACCCTCAAGCACCTGAACCTGAAGTGTCCGAGACCCCTTGACTAGCCCCATGCCCTGGACGTCAATTCGACGCCCCGGCACGAACTGTTGACGATCAAGCCAATCCGGTACCCGAACCCACTTGCGTTCGGCAAAGGGGTCGAGCATGTCTGGTACCTCTGTTCCTCTGGGGAACAAGCCAAGCCGTAACCGTTGCTCCACAGCTTCTTGGTGAGATCCGCCCGTCAATGCACAGGTCTCTGAGGCTGAGGCTGCTGGCAGGACTCTGCCCACGACCACGGCATGCCTATGTGCTATGGCTGCCCAAAAGCTGCACAGACGCCTGGGGTAGGCTGTCTCATCAGCTGTTGCCCACCCATTTGCGGTTCTTCCCCAGGGCAAGTGGACGTGGCTGAAACTTGGATGACACAAACTAGCGAGCTCCACGATTGCAGCGCAACTGCTCCACACCGCAGTGCGTTTGGCTCTGGCGCCACCGTAAGTACAGTGATCAAATACTACCGTGTGCATGCGTGGGCACGCCTTGTGGACTAGCTTCATGGGCTTGGTGATCCAGAACATGCTCGAGCTGGGGTTTTCTACGGACCACCAAATGCCCAAACGTTCGCACTCAAGAACGATATCTGCAGTCACCTGGTAAAGCTGGTTGGCTGTGTTGACTCTTGTACGGTTGGCCACCGACAAGGTGGGCAAGCCCTGCGGATGACACCAAGACCTGAGCGGTGCCGGATCCCACCTGGATCTCCTGATCAACCGAGCCGCACTCGATGTGCTGCATGGGGGCGCAAGGTGCACCCACACCACCCGTCGAGTGTGTAGAAGTCGCATGACCAACTGCATGCTGCTCGGCTGGAGAAGATCTAGCTTCAAAATCTTTGCTTCCTTATGTGCTCGGCTGTCAACGCTGATCGTCTGGTAACCTAAGGCCTGAAAACTTTTGCTCAAACGCGCAGACCCAGCAAAAACTTCTAAAAACAGACACTCTGCTGCAGGCCCCGGCTGTTGCAAGTTGTAGCTCGCGGCTATCTGGGTAGAGGGCGGGCCCTGTGTTTGCAAGCAGGGTGCTGGCGCCGTGCAGGGTTGAGTCTGAGCTCTGGAGTCCTCAACACCTTGACTTCCAAAGGCAACACTTATTGCGTCTGAACCTTGGCACACAGTGGGCACTGTTCGACTGGATGTCGCTGTCGTGGCTGGTTGTCCTGTGACGGGAAGGCCGTCTGGCTGTACACAAGTGGCTGGGGGGGTTACTTCGACACTGCTAACACAGGCGGATGCCTCCAGCGATGCAACCGAATCAAGCTCAACCTGAGTACAGCCTTCACGCGTGCACCCCACGCGGGCGCAACTGTCAGACTGCAGCCCAGGCAAAGTCGGGTGGGGAAACTCTCAGTTCTCGCACACTGTGGTGCTATGGTCCTTGTTGCACTTCATGCAGATGTGAAGGCCTTTGGAGCACATGATGCCATGATCGCCCTGCCAAGTGTCGCGTTGACAACCATGCGGCAAACTGTAATCAAAACAGATATTAGTGTCCTTGAAGGTTGGTGACAAGCCCTGCAAGGCCTCGGGCATGCTGGGGCCCCTGCGCTGCTTCCCTCCTTTGCCCCCTTTGTCCCCCTTGCGAGACTTGCCCCACTTGCCGCCTTTCTTACCACCCTTGCCGTCACCCTTGCGCTCATGCCAAGGCTTCTCAAAGGCATTCTCCCAAGTGCGCTTCTTCGGCTCCTTAGGAATGGGTAAGACATGAAAGGCAACAGCTGGGCCATACATGTGATCCCTGATCGCCTGGTCTACCTTGGCTTTGCCACCTACCCCCGTGAACTCATGCTGCACCTGCTCTGCCACCCGAATCCACAGCTCCCTGTCAGCTCTCATCAGCTGATCCATGCTGGCTACCTGATAGCCTGGAGGGGGCACGCGGCTGCTGTGCTCCATGAGCGCACGTACGTATTCTTCATGCACGGCGTAGCTACAAACCCCGGCCATCTCTAGCGCCACGCTGCGTCGGCTCAAAGCCTGACTAAGGCGCAATTCGGTGGACAAGTCAACTTTAATGTTGGGGGGCTTCGATGCCACCTTCAGGGCAGCCGCCTCAAGGCGAAACAGCACGTCATCCCTCTTCACACAGGCTACTTCCTGGTCACGGCTGCTGCACTGACTGGCGGGGATGTGTCTGATCGCCTGCTCCAACAACATGCTACTGCATTTGTCCACCAGCTGGTGACTGGGTTCTACGACACCTGTGATCTTGCACTCGCCTAACTTGCTTTGCACAGCCTGCAGTCTGCTGGCGCGCTCGGGGGGGCTAAGTTTCCTGGAAGCCTCCGAAGGAGCCTCAACCGACGCGCGGAGTTCAGAGACTATGAATGTCCCTGCCTCGAAGAGTAAGCGGCGCACAGCCGCTTTGACGCTGTCAGACGCGGGCGGATTCATCTGCTTTTGAAGCTCGTCCAACTTATCAGAATCCACTGATCCCGGCGAAGAGGCGACCCGGAATAGCAGTTGACTGAAGGTGCAAATTCCTTGCTCCTTCCATTTCTTTAACGACTCAGGTGGGACCCCATATGCGAGGGCCCGGGCCTCAAAGGTCGCCGCACTATCGCTGACCGCGGACATGCCTGCCAGGCACCAATGTGCTGGTAGGTAAGACTGCCCGCGATGGCAGACCAGCCTTCGCCCCTTGGCTGCGCTGGTTCACCGAGTACCTGGCAGCGACCATTGTCAAGCTGCACAAAGCCCACTGGCTAGGAAGGCCCACTGGCCTTGAAAGTGACACACTGGCGCCCAAGCCTCACAGAGGGCACACGACACACCACACATGGACCCATCGGTCAACTCGTGTCCAGCCTCCACACCGCCACAGAGTGACTCACAGGAGCCAAAAAACTGCAGCAGACACGCGTGGCTAAACAAGTGTGGTGCAACAATTATCCCAAAAGCAATTCGTCACAGCAAGACCTACTTCTTGCGACAAGCCCGTTTGCTCACCAGCGCTTCGTCAAAACTGAGCGGGTCACACGCAACCGGCTGGCCAAGCTCATCCCATGTGCATGTGCACAGGAAAGCTAACTGCAGCAGCAGTCCCAGCTGACTCCTACTTTCAAAGCAGGCTGGTTGCCACGAACCTTCGTACCCTAGCGGCCCTAGCGATAGCAGCTATCACAATAGTGATCACGATGAGTTTCGCGCTCATCAAAGCTGACTGGCCGGCTACACGCAAAAGCGTCACAGTTGGCGCAATCGACAAGACAATAACCGCTTAGGCGGGCACCACGGTCTCTAAGGCCTCTGCTCAACCGTGATGACCGATTCGTATGAAGCGGCCTGTGCGAGCTATAACCTGGTGGCAACTGCCCACGCGTGCCAACTGCACCAATCAGCGCCACGGGAGTGCCAGCGAACCATTGGATCATGCCCGGGGGCCAAACCGGCTGTCCCTTTGCGGCTGCTCCTGCAGCAGCGGGCGGGGCTGGGGGAGTCTGAGCCACCTGCAACGGGGGCGAGCCTGCCTTGGGCTTCGACTGAGCCACCGGCTTAGACTTGGGCACTTGCTGAGGCTGCTGCGGCTGAAGCAAAATCGGCTGGGGAGGCTGCATCGTCTGGGACTTCGTGACAACAGAAGTGACCTGAGTAGGTGCCGCAGGCGGCCGCTTCACCGGGGGAACCATGACCTTGGCCGGTGCCGCCCCAGGCGCACCCGTCTCACTGCGAGGTGGTTCCTGTGCAACTGCTGCCAACTTGGGTGGCCCTTCAAGTCCAACGACACCTGGAGTGGAGATACTCGGCACGTCATCGGCAAGGGCCTTGGGTACAACTACAGAGGTTGGCGGACGCTTGGTCGAAACTTGCACGCCGACCTCAGCTGTCTGAGCTGGACGACTGGGCTGCACCACTGAGGTATCGATCACCATGAGAGAGCTTCCATTCAAGGCCGCTCGAGCAGTAGCTGCCACACGCTCAACGACGTCCACAGCACCAGCTCCACGTGTGATCAAAACCTCAGCACTGACGTCGGCATCCAAAGCTAGGAACTCATCAACGGTAGCCTGAGCTGCCACAATCCGATGTGTCCAGCTGTCCATGGCTCAAACTTTAATCCTCACGCCTGGCTCTGCTCGAAAAATTGCCTTGTGCCAAAATGGCACGTCGTTGATTCAGTTAAGGCAAGATCGAGGATGCTCAGCTTAGGGTTTAGGGTTTAGGGTTTAGGGTTTAGGGTTTAGGGTTTAGGGTTTAGGGTTTAGGGTTTAGGGATGTTTAGGGCTTAGGGATCCAGGGATCAAACTTGCCCCAAATCCCTCCCCCAAACTCCCTCCCCCAAAGCCTCCCGATGGTCATCTGAGCTCCGTGCGTCTCCACCTCGGACCAAGCGATGCGTGCGACGTTCTTCGGCCTCACTGCGGAGAGATCTGCTCTTGGAGTTCCACCGGGGAATTACGATGATTGAGGGGCTTGGTTTAAGGCTTCGTCGGGATGCCTCGGGTCTCTTAGGTCCTCTCTTGGTCATGGAGAGGTGCTCTGAGGATGAGGCCGCAGGCTGTCCATGGTGGACTGGGCAGCAGGAGAACGCCCCAAGAAAGCCCCAAGCGGCTAATCAGGCTATGGTGGCAGTCAGCTGACATCAGCTGACAATCAAGGTTTCCTAGGATGGCTTCAAAAAGTCTAAGCTACCCCACGAATTCCCCAATCAACAGTCCCCAGGCTAGGTCATCCCGGCCTCCACCAGAGAGAGGAGCGGCTCATGGCCGCACAGCGACGCTGCGCGCTGGAGCGTCGAGAGCCGGGTGACCTCAACGCTGCAGAGTAAGCTGATGAATCATAGATTGGACGTGAGGATTCATGGTTGGCCTCGGCATGTCTTACTCCACACCGGCAGGGGCCGTGACGTCCACGCCAGCCGGCCGTCGGAACACCTGGCAGGCAAAGAACAGGCGTGCTTTAAATCACTGCTGATCGCAGTTCTGGCCTTCGCGCCAAGGTGGCCCCGTGTGCGAACGCGCGACTTGAGGCCCACGGACGAATAGATCACCTCCAGTGGGCGCGACATCGAGTTCCCATGTGTTCTCATGGGTTCGCATAACCTGGCGATATGTGAGATTGTGTGAGCATCTGCCTTTTCTCGTCCAATCTTCTTCGTCCACCGCCCGTACTTGGCATCGCGGTTTCGCTCCTGTCAGCACAGCCAGCTCTAACATACTCATGACAACCTTTTGGAGGCTCAGCTCCATTTGAGGGTTTGAAAAAGACGGACATCAGGCCGCTGTCTACATGAATCCACACGGGAGTGCATAGCTTGCCTCTTTGTGAGCCTCCTGCACCTCCTCATTCTCCCGTGGCCGCCGATCATACCAGTACCTTTAGCAAGAGCCAAAGTCCGGCCACAAAGTGCCTTGACAATCCCTGAAATCTCTCGAGAACACGGCTCCTCCGTCTCCTGAAAGGCTCTGAGGGCCGCACGTGAGCTGTGCCAGCGCGGCAACATCTATCCAAGGTAGCTGCAGAAGAGCCTCCGCAAGCACTTTGCAAAAAAAAGCATAGCGCTGCATACCGATTCAGGCGACCCCAAAGAATGCAATCGCAAACCAATGAGCCTCGTCAACGCATGCAAGTTTGTCCCGTATAATGCCGTACAATGCACACATGACAGAACGAGGCAAACAAAGCCAAGCAACAAGTCTCATTTGGCAGCAATGCCTCGTCCTCAGGGACCATGCCGGCGCGCTCCTGAAAATGGGCCAAGAGCGCCTGGACTGGTGCAGGGTTGACCATGTGGACATTCCGGCCAGACTCCTCTGCAACCACTTCCAAAACCCCTCTCACACGCAGAAGAGGGCCTAAACCCGAAACACAACAAAGGCGTGCCGAAACATGAGGTCCAGGCCTCGACCATCTGGGCATCACTTTCGCAGGCGAACCTCTGGCGCAGCTGCTGCCTCCATAAACGCTCTTATCTGCAGACTGGCAGAAGTGCTATTTAACTGCCAAAACAAGGGATCAAGCACAATGCGAAATAGAATGACCGACGTGGCTCTAAGTCTACCCATCGCGAGTCCTTGATAGCTTTGAAGGCTGGGCAGAAATTTCCCTTGAGCTTTATGTCTGGTTGATCTGCCGTTCATAAGGTAACTGGTATACTGGGTAAACCACCATGGACTTCCCCTTGTCCTAAGGCAACCGGCACCGGCTTCGTTGAGTCGTGTGCACCGCGCCTGATGCGCTCGCATTCGAACGCCAGGCCCACTGGTACCTATGCCAACACGTGCCAACTTGCCACAGGGCCATGAAAGTTTTGAGCATCATCCTACATCTAAGTCTAGCTCGATGGTGCGGTTCGAGCAGAGTTTTGGGATCAAGCTCTAGCAGTCCTCAATGAGCGAGGTGCCCGCACACGCAGCAAACCCACAGCATGGAGCTCCCCAACTGACGCCTCAACCACGTCCAAGTCTACGTCTTGGCCAGTAGCTCCGTGCTCGACGGGAACCTGCATTCCACACCACGATGCATAGATCTTGCCGATTTTTGGCAAAAAGCAATGAAAAAGGATACCCAACGGCCCAAGAGCTACCGGCGTCACACACAGACGGAGCTTCTTTGAAAAGTGCCGCAGGCCTCACATTCGACCACCGGCTCCTTGGCTGGCCCTTTCCTGGTCCACCTAAGTCCCGCGTTGAAGCCAGCAAATTCTGAGCAGGGTGCACCATCCTGTGTCTTCATTTTGGGTTCGCTAGGATGGAAAGAGCAACTCTCGGAGACCGGGGGGTAAAGGGCACAAGTATGGAGGCTCCAGCCTCTCAAGCTGGTCGTTGACGAGCCTGCTCATCAGGATCGCCCTTCGGACCCTCCGGTACCTTGAGATCATACCAGGAACGGCAACCAGGCACCCAACAAGGAGCATCAAGGAGCTTGTGCGTGTCAAGCCGTGCACGGGCGGCTAATTGTGTGCCAAGGCACACCAGCACCGAGAGGCCTTGCAAAAGCAAGCTTCGGCGCAACGAGAAGATCGACCAATTCATATGAGCTGCAAGGCGTGCGTAATTCTTCGAAGACATCGCGCATTTCATGGCAAGCCGTGGCTGAGCTCCGGGGGGGAGATGTCAAGACAAGTCTCCCCCGGCCTGCTGCTGCCAGCGCGACAGCCACTTTGCGAAGGGTGGGGCGCCTGCAAAAGCAAATCATCCGTTTTGTGTTCGATGGTGGCTTACAGTCTTGGCTTCTTGTCCCCAGAGCAAGGATACTACCGGATTGTAAGGCCCATGAGGCCTGTTTAAGGGCCACTTCTGGGGCTAATTTGCAATAGACTGTCAGCAGACCACAGCAGCAGAACAAACGTCCTACACGTTGCGGCGTCTGTGCCACATGTGCCAGGGCCGTGGCAATCTTCTCCGCAGCCATGATGGAGGCTTTAGAAGCGCGACGAGCCCAGCATCTGACATTTGGCCGGAATTGCAACGGCAAAGAAGGATCCTGACGTAAGGATTGCAGCATTGCAAGGACCTTTATCGGGAAGGGTCCTTGACTGTCAGCATGTTGCAGACGTCGGAAATTATCGATTGAACTTCCTATCGACTGCACTTCCTATACATGGACTTTGTCTCCGCCGGGTGTGGTGAAGTACCTCCTTAGTATTGGTTCCAGACATGGAAAAGCATGGAAAGAGTGCCGCTTGACGTGGGAACCAAATCAAAGCCTAAGAAACCTAACCGCGATGTCATGAGTCATGGGTGTTGAGTTCTTTCTAACCTGCGCTCGAGAGCAGGAAGCAGCTGTGACGCCAGGATGCAACAAGCATTCAAGCGCACCTTCCAAAGTTCTAGAATGGGGCAACAGGCCCTGTCAAGTCTGCAGCATATATACTCTATATATACATATACATACATATATACATATATATTGTATACTATGTATATCTATGTATACTATACATATATATATATATATACACACGATATCTGTTGTCCTTTTTGAGTGCTGAAGTCTCGCAAAGCGTTCTGTGCCAGGAGGAGTCCTTGAAGACACACAACCCCACCAAACAAAGAGCAGTTAAAGCTTTCAGGAAGTATGGCTCCTACCCACTTCGGTGTGTTTATGGTAGCTTGAGCTACGGTGAACCCGAGGCCCAAGGCCGCCCCTTCCGAAACAGCTCATGCAGGACTCAGAGGGCTGCAATACACACTAAGCCACTACTATGTGCTACCTGCATATGGCCCACTGCAATGGTCCTCAGCACCTGCAGCCTGCAGGCGTGCGGCGCGCGCACGCCGGAGACCAACAAAGAGTTCGGCGGCCTCTTCCAGCGCCTTCTGCCAAGGCATGCCAAGGCGCAGAACCACTTTTCAGCACCGACCCACTCACACTCACTGAAGATCCGATCCCTGAATCCCGCCTCGAAGACGGTGTTGGGCACACTGGAGGCCCGCTTGCGGCTGCCAGATGTGCGATACTTTGGCACCTTGCCAGAGGAGGCTTCGTTCATGGGTCCTGGATTAAGAGGACTCCTCATGACTCCTAGTAGGAGTCGTACCCATACCAAGGCCTTATGAACTCTGAACCTCAAATTTTGAACCCAAGGACTCCGAGATGTGGCTTCCGGGCCTTGGGACAGGATGTCTGCTCGGGAACTGGTGCAGGTCGTGGCACTGCTGCAGCTTCCGCGGCTTTCGCAGCCTGCATGAGGGCCGAACTGCATATTTTTGAGCATGGAGGTTTCATGTCACAGTGAAAGGCTGAACAATGTAAGAAGGTCGACAGTGACACCCGACTTTCACAAATCTGGACAGACAGCTGGGTGAAAACTGGATCTTCTGTTATCCTGGCATGGTGGACGTCAGTGGCGGATGATTAGATGTATCAGCTTGCTGCAAATGGTCTCAGCTGCAATGCTTTGCAAAATGAATCATTGAAACTGACCCGCACGTAATCACATGCAACAACGAGAATTCGGTTTACGAGAACGGGGGCCACAGCACAACGGTCCAACAGCTCAACCCGAATCAGCTGCGAAAGCTTGGCCGTCAGGGTTAAAAAGCTCAATGTCAGCTCGTCACACGTGTTCCGAGTTGGATTTCTGTTGTCATCATCACAAAGGCCAGCATTCCGATCCTTTTCCAAATGTCCCTCGCAAGGAACGCAAGGACCAGCAACTACATCGCCTTACCCAACTACCACAGGACGGCGCCATTGAGTGCAGCGCGGAACACAAGGAGATCAGAACGGAGGCCACAGAAAAAGGGCCTAACAGCTCAATCCAAATCAGCTGCGAAAGCCTGGCCGTCAGGGTTAAAAAGCTCAATGTCAGCTCGTCACGCGTGGTCCGAGTTGGATTTCTGTTGTCATCATCACAAAGGCCAGCATTCCGATCCTTTTCCAAATGTCCCTCGCAAGGAATGCAAGGACGCCCCAACTATCACAGGACAGCGCCATTGAGTGTAGCGCGCAACACAAGAAGATCAGAACGGAGGCCACGGAAAACGGCCCAACAGCTCAATCCAAATCAGCTGCGAAAGCCTGGCCGTCAGGGTTAAAAAGCTCAATGTCAGCTCGTCACACGTGGTCCGAGTTGGATTTCTGTTGTCATCATCACAAGGGCCAGCATTCCGATCCTTTTCCAAATGTCCCTCGCAAGGAACGCAAGGACCAGCAACTACATCGCCTTACCCAACTATCACAAGACGGCGCCATTGAGTGTAGCGCGGAACACAAGAAGATCAGAACGGAGGCCACGGAAAAACGGCCTAACAGCTCAATCCAAATCAGCTGCGAAAGCCTGGCCGTCAGGGTTAAAAAGCTCAATGTCAGCTCGTCACACGTGTTCCGAGTTGGATTTCTGTTGTCATCATCACAAAGGCCAGCATTCCGATCCTTTTCCAAATGTCCCTCGCAAGGAACGCAAGGACCAGCAACTACATCGCCTTACCCAACTATCACAGAACGGCGCCATTGCGTGTAGCCCGCAACACAAGAACGGAGGCCACGGAAAAAGGGCCTAACAGCTCAATCCAAATCAGCTGCGAAAGCCTGGCCGTCAGGGTTAAAAAGCTCAATGTCAGCTCGTCACACGTGGTCCGAGTTGGATTTCTGTTGTCATCATCACAAAGGCCAGCATTCCGATCCTTTTTCCAAATGTCCCTCGCAAGGAATGCAAGGACCAGCAACTACATCGCCTTACCCAACTATCACAGGACGGCGCCATTGAGTGTAGCGCGAAACACAAGAAGACTTGGGGGTGAGGGCCTGGGACGAAAGCTAGTTAAGGTACCCCCACGGAAGAGCTTCCGTCATCATGGCATCAACTGCGCAGCAGGACAAGCACACGCAAAGGCAGCAGGCCGTGTTGGTGTGTTGCTTTGCTCTGCGGTGTTTTAGCATCTTCCGGAGGGCTCGTTTTTGAAACGCATGACACCACAACAGATGTTGCACTCACCAGGCGAAGTCTGTCCAATCCAGCTTTGAGGGACGCCGGACTCAAGTCAACATCAAGGCTTCTGAGTCTTTTCTTGGGGGGCTTTTTTGTGGCCTGGGATCCACAGAAAACGGCGTTCGTTTGCACCCAAGAAACGAAAGAAATGAATGCCAGCCCGTTTCCCCAAAACCTGTGTTTCGCCACCGGAAATCGACCGGGTTTGCTGCGTTTCGTGGCGGAGCCTCCGGGGGCCCTGTATACCCTTCAGGTTGTATGCTTCGCTTAAGTAAGATACTCCGCTAGCCCTCAGAGGCTAGCTTTCGTGATCACAACGGAGGCCACGGAAAAACGGCCTAGCAGCTCAATCCAAATCAGCTGCGAAAGCCTGGCCGTCAGGGTTAAAAAGCTCAATGTCAGCTCGTCACACGTGGTCCGAGTTGGATTTCTGTTGTCATCATCACAAGGGCCAGCATTCCGATCCTTTTCCAAATGTCCCTCGCAAGGAACGCAAGGACCAGCAACTACATCGCCTTACTCAACTATCACAGGACGGCGCCATTGAGTGTAGCGCGCAACACAAGAAGATCAGAAAGGAGGCCACGGAAAAAGGGCCTAACAGCTCAATCCAAATCAGCTGCGAAAGCCTGGCCGTCAGGGTTAAAAAGCTCAATGTCAGCTCGTCACACGTGGTCCGAGTTGGATTTCTGTTGTTATCATCACAAAGGCCAGCATTCCGATCCTTTTCTAAATGTCCCTCACAAGGAACGCAAGGACCAGCAACTACATCGCCTTACTCAACTATCACAGGACGGCGCCATTGAGTGTAGCGCGCAACACAAGAAGATCAGAAAGGAGGCCACGGAAAAACGGCCCAACAGCTCAATCCAAATCAGCTGCGAAAGCCTGACCGTCAGGGTTAAAAAGCTCAATGTCAGCTCGTCACACGTGGTCCGAGTTGGATTTCTGTTGTCATCATCACAAGGGCCAGCATTCCGATCCTTTTCCAAATGTCCCTCGCAAGGAACGCAAGGACCAGCAACTATATCGCCTTACCCAACTATCACAGGACGGCGCCGTTGAGTGTAGCGTGCACCAAGAAGAGAAGAATGGGGGCCACAGCACAACAGTCCAAGTCAACTGCGAAAGCCTGGCCATCAGGATTCAAAAGCTCAATCTCAGCTTGTCGAGTTGCAAGGAACCTGGAACCTATGCAGTGTCCTTCTCAGGACCAGCTCTTAACCGTCCCTTGGACAACACAGTCTGAGTCCGCGCCAGAACAGTCAAAATGTCCCACCTGGCGGCTGCCATCCCAGTTGAAAGTCTTGTGTCATTCGCTTCAGCCCTTGACTCGCTTCAGCCTGTGTGGAGCGCATGCAGCGAACACGACTAGCACTTCGCAGGCAACTTGATGCCAACCACCGATCTTGTTTAAATGAAGCTCACAATCGCAATTTTATGATGATGACACGCTGACCTTTCGGTCGCCATCAATCACCAGACAAATTTTCTGCAGACGCAAACCTATCTTGACCTTGATTAAACCCTAGGATGCCCGCGGGGCCACAATCTGGGAAAGGGGAAAGCATCGCACATAGAGGTCAACATCCTCTTGGAGAAACATTCCAAAGTCTCGGAGACAAAACAGCCTTTGCAACAGCTTACTCTGCGCTATACGAGCAGGATGTGTTGAGTGTCTCTATTTCTCTGCGTGGCTTGGACAGCCTTAGCAGCAGCTGCGACGAACTCAGGCGGGACTTCCAAATGCTGCTCGTCGTCCTTCACACAACGTCAAACAAAAGGGCAGACAATAAAGTACATGGAGGCAACACAGCCTCTCTTCCTTTGGAAAGCAAACATCGTTTCTAAGGGAGGTTACATACTCCGGTCCTTTACCTTCTTGAAAGGATTCTAAAGTATGGGGCCTTGGGTGTTATAGGGTATATAAGGTGTTGATGTAATGGTTCCGCAGGGTAATCAATCTGCACTCAACATCTCTCCTCCAGCACGTTGCCGGCATGCCAAAGCGCAACACCTACAAAGCCAGGCTGCTCTGAAACAAAAGGCTACACGTGTATTGCGAAGGGCGGAGCGACGTGAGCACATGGGAAGCACCTGCAACATGTTAGGAGCTGCTGAAAAATTTGCGGCCTCTCTGCCGCAGTTCTTCGGCAAGCCTCCGCCGCGCGGCACAACCGTGCCAATCCTGAGCAAGGTGCCCAAGAAGTTTCTTGCGCGCACTTGCGTGGTCAAGCACTGCTACAGCCCGGAAACAGCTAAAACCTAACACCACACACATGTTTTGTAAATGTTCGCCTCGGCTTCCTGCCGAGAAGCGTCTGGAACAAGCAGACCCGGATCGGGCCTCCTTCCCCCTAACCCAACCCTTCCCCCATGCAAAATTTTCTGACGCCACCCCCCCCCCCCCCCCGCCCACCCCCCCCCCCCCCCCCCCCACCCCCCCCCCCACCCACCCCCCCCGCCCCCCCCCACCCCCCCGCCCCACCCCCCCACCCCACCCCCACCCCCCCACCCCCCCCACCCCCCCCCACCCCCCCCCACCCCCCCCCCCCCCTTTAACCCCTGCCCTTCCTCCCTTTTTTTGCGAAACACTCTTTCCTCCTTTCCTGTCCTGCGGCCGGCCCGGCTGCCGAGGCGGCGCGCGCAAGCGTTTACAATTATGTGCTTCAAACGCAACAGTCCACCTGCGGCACCTTCATTCTCAGCGGGCCTCGCCCTCAAAGAGCACGCATGGCGGATTCCTTCGGCCTGTTCGGTGGCGAGCCATTTGCACGCAAGCACTTGCAGAGCAAAAGGGCATACTGCTGACTTGCCCCACAGAAGCCACAGGCTGCCGCAAGCCTCCGCCTTTGTTGCTCTTCCATGCAGCTGTGACCAGCCGCACCAAGACGGCTGCCCGCTCCGCTGCTTCAGCCCCTGTGGATCCTGCCCAAAAAAACTTTAAAATGCCGCGAGCTCCAACAGCGCTTTCCGCACGCGTACCTGATGCAGCCAGCGCCGGCCGCCACTCCCAGTCGAGGCCCTGCGAAACGGCGAAGCGGCGCAACGCAGCGGCCGCACGGGCCGGCCTCACATGCACAGAAGACAGGAGCTTTTGCCATACTTGGCCGCTGCCGGCATATGCTTCATGTCAGTGAATGAGGTAAGTACCGCAATCGCACGTCCACAGCACTGGAAACTGCACGCCGTCGCAGAAAATCGAAGAGCTGCTGGGCACCTCTCGATTGGATCAGACCACCGATATTATGATTTGCTCACCTTTTCGTACATGATGACTCCCACACGTCTGCGTACGTGTAGCTGCTGACATGCTGAAAAGGCACCATTCACATTTCACACAGCCGCCATAAAACCTGCGTGTATATATAACAATATATATATATATATATATATATATATATGTATATATATATATATATATTATTATATTATTATATGATATTAAACTATATAATTATGATTATGATTAATTATTGTTATTGTTAATATTTGTGTTTTTATTAGGAAAATTTATGCATTCATTTATGTATGTATTTATATCTGTATGTATATGTATACTTATACATATATATATATATATGTATATAAAGCGTGTCTGGGTGTGTCCCACGTGGCCTGTGTGCGTCGCCACATTCACACACAACACCCCGGCAGCAGCGTTGACCTCCTCTTCATCCTCTATGAGAATGACGTCATGCCTCCAAAACGTTACAATGCCGTCTCCGCAACGATGAACTCACTGAGTCCCGCACGGGGATTCCAAGTCAATGACGTCGACCATACGCCGGCTGCATTTCCGAGCGAAGTACACAAGTGGCGCATGCTTTTGCCCAATTTCAGTCTTTCAGGAATCTAATGGACAAAGGTAGGGGCCTGAAGCGTGGCAGAGTTTAGGCTTCAACTTGTGGGGCTCGAGCTTTGCACAAGCGGCCTCGAAGAAGACAGCAACGGCATGTATCAATATCGAGTAGGCAGAGGACTGACCGCACGCTGCAACTGTGCGGAAAGACTCTCCAACATCTCCCGCACGCTAGGACTTAGCTGAGGCCAAGCATCTCTGCTTCGAGTTCCTTCAACACGTTCTTTAGGTATCGTCTCACGACACTATTGCTTGCTCTCGCTGGCTATCACTATTTGGTTTGGGGGCACAGGGTGACCTGCATCAAAGGACAACAGCCACCACCTTCATCTAGCATCTGTCGTCAAAGAGTTGCCGAAAAATCGAGGTGCGCACAGTCTACATGCCGCGGCAGTTTGCAATGTGTAAAACTTGACCCTTGCCACAACCAGACCTGAAGCGATGCAATCTACGACGCCTTTCAACCAATGCTCAGACCTGCCATACTTTTGCCACTCACGCATGAACCCCCGCCCTTGAGGGCCCTAGAGGGGGGTTGAAAACGACTCTTAGCTCCCTCTTTCGAGCTGTTCACCTCTCGCTGCGAGGGGAAACGCTGATCCACAAGTCGCTCTGAAGGTGCTCCTTCGGTGCCCGTTCAGAAGCTGGAAAATCGTGCCAAAGCCGAGGCTAAGGCGGCAAAAGGCAGCATTGCAACATGGACTTTGCAGAATGGTGCGAGGGTAATTGTAGACAAAGAGAGCTGGGGGCTCAAGTACAGCGCTTACAAGACGTTTCGCTCAGACGAGTCAATCTTCTTCAGAACATCTGGGTCTAACTTCTCCTGGGCTGTGAAGAAGCGGCTAAGCACACTGCCTACCGTAGCAGTCATTCATGGGTCCGTAACGCGCGACGAACAAGGTTAACCTCCCCACCCTACAAGCACTCCAGGGATCCTCCGCGGGATTTCCTGTAGGATTTTTGGGGTTTCTAGGGTTTATAGGGTTTATAGGGTTTATAGGGTTTAGGGTTTAGGGTTCAGGGTTTAGGGTAGCCAGCGAGGGAACTCTGATCCGAAAAACATGTGAAAATCAGTGCTAAGGCTCCAAGTCTTGATGTTCTTTACCTCCCAGAGCGCTCACCAGCAGTTGCCCTGAAGCCTGGGCCGTTGCCGCGTAGCAGCGAAGCCAATCGCCGCTGCCCATGAGGCCTGACCTCTTGAAGACAGAGGAATGGATCAACAACAATAAGGGAACGCTTTTCAAGTACGTACATGCATATATACACATATACATATATATATATATATACTATATAGATGTATACACATTAACATGTTATCCGATATGATTGTCATAATCAATTCACAGATTGACGCCTTATCGTGGAGTCGTGGACCAGTCGTGGACAATGCCGCAATTGCATTTTGCCATATTTTGCCCCACCCCCAAGCACCCGATCCTCCTGAGGACCCAGAAGGGTGCGATCATCTGCGTCTCAGAAATCCACTGGTGCGACGTGCCAGGAACTTGCAGTGCGGCTCGGCACTGCGCAGTGGCGTTGGAGCTATTGGAGATGATCTGGAGGTTGCCTACGAAAGGCGAGAAATTCCACAACATGGTTAGATTCACGTTTATTATTCTGATTGTTGTTTGATTATGATTATTATTATTATGATTCACATTAGTATCATATTCTAGTTTCCTGAGGCCTGCTAGGCGGAGAGACTTTTCAAGCTGCAGGTGCCTGAGAGGAAGGAAGAAAATGTCATCCACTCCCCTGAAAGGATCATGGCGAAATCCACCTGAGGGGCGAAGGCCAAGTCCTCCTGCTTCAGCGGCTCCTCCAAATAGTCTTTGATGTCTAAGCTTTAGGGTTTGGGGGTTTAGGGTCTTAGGGTCTTGAGTCTTGGGGGTTTAGGCCTTAGCGTATCTGTAGGCCCGTAAGCTGTAGTGAACCGCAATGAACAAATCATCATGCCCTGCAAAGTAGCGTTATCATCTTCTCCAATTGGCTCTTCCACTTCGGCTTGCCCTTGAAAAAGTTCTAGCTAAAAAGCATGCTGCGGCGTTCTTATTCTGATCCAAGACTCTGGCCAGAGGTCCATGAACATCGCGAACTTAAAGGGGCAAGCTTCTCCCTGCTCTGAGGTTGTGCGAAGGTATCTCACAACCCCAGCTGCCCCCAAGGAGTGTCCAACCAAAGCCATGCGAGCAGGGTCAGCTTGTTGCAGGACCTCATAATGTGACACTAGCCCGGTTTTGAGGGTTTGCGGGCAAACTGGAAGATTCTTTGGAACCCTCCAAGTCTTACACTTCGCTGTTCGTTGTTGGTCCTCACAGATACGTTTCGAAACTTAAACTGACCACGACCCTAAACTTCAGGACGTGGCCACTTCGCACCCCAGCCCAGGGCGTGTGAAGTAGGGCTGACGCATGAGAGGAAGGGGATGCCGAAACACCGGACGAAACAAAACAAGGCAGCGGCAGAAAGGACCAAAGGTGAGCAGGTGCTCATCAGAGGCAGGGCCTTCCCCACCCAGCAACCCGGACCACAAAGCCCCAATAGATTCAGGGCTGTAAAACCCATGTCATGCCACATACCCCAGATCCACCAAGTCCACGAACGTCTAAGCATGAGCAACATGCATGAGGATGAGTCTGCCCCCCTCGCCTGTGCCAAGGGTGTCCCACTCTCCGGCGTCGCTTGCTGCAGCGCTTGCAGCGCCTGGGCCATCTCGGCGATCTCCTTCGTCCGCTGTTGCAGATTCGGCTCGCGAAAGCTTTGGATGTCGGCACCGCTGGGCGGATCAAGGTAGGGAATGACTTGGCCGTTGGAGTCTGAAGCATAGATACCGCTGCCGTCCTGAAAAAAAACAACCCGAAATACACTAACGCACGTTAAACTGTGCGCAAAAGCGAGCTAAGATCTGAGGATGCACCGGGATGACATTCAAAAAATTGTAGGAACAGTGGAGAACTCTTCAGCCTTTGATACATCATCTCAAGCTTTAGGAGCTCTCCTCATGCTCCATGGCAAAGACAATCATTCCGAAAGATGCCAAATCCCTGCAGAATTGAGTGTACATCTCGCAGCTGCCGAAAATGCCGCTGCTGAAGAGGACCACTGGCCATTTTGAAGCTGTCGATGGTGCAACGGGCGGATCGTGCTGCATGCTATACTTGAAGAGGGATTGCAACATCCTAAGTCAGATTCTCTGGGACCTCGGGTAGCTGGGTCTTATGTGTTCTCCAATGCATGTCGGGCTTTGGGCAGCCAAGTATCCACATGGGGATCCCCTGCTTGGCACCCAGATTCTCCAGCACTCCGTGTCGGAACAATGGCTCTTGTTCGTTCGTCAAGTGCTGGGCAGCGTGGTCGCCAGGATAATGCCTGAACAGCAGCGGTAAACTTAGATCACAGCCCCTTCTTTCACAAGCACATGCACAACATTGAGATGCACCCTCTCAAAATAAAGCGCGAGTGTTGCATTTCCAACATTCCACCCTAAAACTGAGCCATTTTGTGGGCAACGTAAGGATCGTCTGGCATTGTCAACACTGGTGGGGACATCCTGTGGGGGTCTTTGGGCACTCCATCGGATTCTGGGGTTGCAGGCGACTCTATGGATGTTCTGTCCGTTGGATTCTGCGCACCATTCTCTGCAGGACTCTCTGGTGGGGCACTCCGGGCTTTGCGGGGTGTCTGGAAAGTGGTGCAAGGACACGTTGGAGGATTGTCGGAGGCACGCCAGGGATACTTGGCGGTATTCTCTGCCGGATGTGCTGGGCGTGGGCACGGCATGGATACTATGTGGGATTCCCGAGCCATTTCTAAGCAGAGCGTACGCTGAAGAAATCAAGGTGCACTTGAACTTGAACGTCTTTTCCTTCTTGCACTGGCATCCGTGCCCGCAGGCAGCCCACTTGATGTGAACCTTGACATTCAGGCCGAGACTTTCGCAAGTAGCGCAACACCATGGCGTGGCTGGGGAATGGCTGCGGTTATAAATCTGAACGAAAACCGGCTGTGGGAATGCCAAAACATGTGCCAAAAGAGCATGCAACTGTGTTTGCGAGACCTGGGGCCTAGCCGTCAAAAAATATACGAACAGTGCACAGACAGAGTTGTGTTGGGTCCTGAAAGCCCTCATCTCGCAACCCCGTCCTCAGTGCTACCTTCTGAAGGGCACAACGATTTTTCAGCACGCCGAAGTGAGTCACTCCCGGTTTTAGAATTTAGACATCCTTGTGGCGACTATCGCCTTTTTCTTCTGATTTGCAACACGGACCGCGGGACCTTCCTGTACTGGGAGGACGAGGTCGCTGGCACCCTGCACTACGCCGAACTCCCCGTCGGCGCCTACACGGGGCCGAGGCTGGCAGCGTGGATCTCCAGCAATTTCGCGGTGGCCACGTACACAGGACGTCACCTACGACGGCGTGCGCCTGATCCTGAACGACGCCGAACTCCTGCAGCGCTTCCCGGGGACGGGCTCTTACCCGCCGGGCGCATCGCCCAGCAAGCCCCTGTCCATCAATCATCTTTTGGGGCCCAGCGACCTCACAGGCTCCGTGCAGCGTTTTGCAAGCGCCCTACCGGCACGCCAACACATTCGCGGACCTGTGTCACGGCAGGGTCGTCAAAGTAGCCGGGTAAACATAATCTGTGCGAAAGAAGAGAGAAATGGAGCAAGCCTGCCAGGCTGTTATAGAGCACCCTACCGAGCATAACCTGGTGGAATTGCTGGATCTTTGGTCACAGCACTGGAAGCACAAAGGTCGAAAACGGGCTATCGGTGCCGGGTCTTATGACATATACTGCACCCTGGGGCTCTCTGCCTTTGCGGGCAATGCTCCCGACTTGTCCAAAGCCTCGATCGCAAAAGAGGCATGCGTGCAACTCAGTCACTTTCTACGGGATCGCTTCAGGGTCACTGGCTGTCATTCTGAACCCTCGCATCGGACTGCATCGCGACAGATCGACATGCCGAATCATGCCATTGCATTGGGGGACTTTACGCAGGTGTGGATCCAAGACGACGAAGAAACATCACTGAGCTGGGCAGCGGTGGCGCCAACCATCAACTCAGTCTCTCCAAAAACCGTTAAGCCTCGATGAAAATGCTGAAAAACGCGAAGAATTGACATCTCTGGAATTTCCATTGCCGGAATCAAATCTACGGGTGCGTTATCTGTCAGACGAGCTGCGGGCTTTTTAATAATTGAAAAAATATGAGAACTCTACGTTCAATCGAAGACTCTACAATGCTGAAAAAACGGGATTTTCGCTCAAGCCGCATGAAACTCAGCCACACATCAGAAAGCTGGCAGCTTCTTTTTTTCCGCCTGTTGAGTAAGTCTTGCTCCCACGCATCGCAACGCGTGCCTGTGCTGGTCTGGAGCTTTTGGGCACTCTGATCTGCGACCCGCCTCAATGTGTTGGCACCTGCGAGCACGCCTGACCCGGAGGGCCTGTGCACCTTGAGCCTGTACAACAACAAGCGAAGCAGCCCACAACAGCCAAGGCCGAGCAGATGATGCTGAGTCTGAACAGACGACCGCTTGCTTTGTGGTCTCTGCACTGCTATGGCGGCAAGGTCGTAGTGTCTGGCCGCCAAAGACCAGGATTGGACGCCGTTCTCTTTGCAAAATCTTTAGCCAAAACCAATACCTTCTTGAAATCGGTTGTGTACTTAACAGCGCCTCTATATTTCTTCATGTTTAATTCCATCAGATGCCTCAGAAAGTCTGCCAAGAAAACTGTGCCTTTCCTTGCTTTGCTTGACAAGAACATGTCTGGACTGCTGATGTGGTAAAGGGGCGTCCACTTAAAAAAACTTCGGTCGTGGTCTCTTCTTTCCTTCTCTTTCTTCGTCTTGTCGCTCTCTCTCTTCCATTCTCTTTCTCCCCCTTTCTCTCTCTCTTTCTATCTCTTTCTTTCTCTCTTTCTCTCTCTCTCTCTCTCTGTCTTTTCTCTTTCTCTCTTAGTTGTGGTAAGAAGCCATCTCGGCAAGGTCCAGCCAAGACATATACCTTCCTTGTGACCCATAGGTGACGCAAGGCAACTGACCATCGCTGTTTCTTGATGTCGCGATGCACCCACTACAGCAGGTCTTAAAGGTCTTGCAGAAACCACTTGCCGAAGACTTTGTGCGCCAAGTGCGTTCTGCCGCTGGGGCAGCGTTCCCCATTTCCTGCCTGGGCCGGTTCTCCGTCCTCTTTTGCCCAGACCCGCCACCAGGCCTCCGCCTGGAAAAAAAGAGGCAACCACCGCGGAATCGAAGCGGTCCGGGGCTGCATCCGTTTCCTTCAAAGCCGAGGTTGCAGGGGTGGGAGAGAGGACGAAGGGGCTTCGAAGGCTTCGAAAGTGAGGACAAAGGGGGCTTCGAAGGCTTCGAAGGCGAGACGAAGGGGGGGGGGCCTTCGAAGTCTTCGAAGGTGAGGACGAAGGAAGGGGGCTTCGCAGGCTGCAAGCGAGGACGAAGGGGGGGGGGGTTCGAAGGCTTCGAAGTGAGGACGAAGGGGGTTTCTAAGGCTTCAAGGCGAGGACGAGGGGGGGGGGGGCTTCGAAGGCTTCGAAGGCGAGGACGAAGAAGGCTTGGAAAGCTTCGAAGGCGAGGACGAAGGGGGGGGGGCTTCGAAGGCTTCGAAGGTGAGAGACGGGGGCATCTCCAGAGTCTCACGGCTGCGCCCCCCCCAATCCCCCTGCTCTCCACTTCTAGAAACAAAAACACTCTCGTCTCTACTCCTCTGATCTTCGAATAATGAAACAAAAAAACAAAAGAAGATTCGAGGGGGGTAGAATTTAGAATAAATTCCCTTCTCCCTTCTCCTCTGAATTTTCGAAGAATGAAATACGAAAAACAAAAGAAGATTCGAGGGGGGTGGAATTTAGAATAAATTCCCTTCTCTCTCCTCCTCTGATTTCTCGAATAATGAAATACAAAAAACAAAACAAGATTCGAGGGTGGTGGAATTTAGAATACATTCCCTTCTCTCTTCTCCCTTCCTCCAACTCCGCATTCTCGGTTCTCCCTTCCTCCCACTCCCTCATCTGTGATTCAAAATAAAGTCTACTTCTAGAAACAAAAACCGTCTCGTTCTGATTTTCGAACAAGGAAATACAAAAAACAAAAGAAGATTCGAGGGGGGGGTGGAATTTAGAATAAATTCTCTTCTCTCTTCTCCTCTAATTTTTCGAAAGATGAAATACAAAAAACAATGAAGGGGGTGGAATTTAGAAGACTTTAGAAGACATTCCCTTCTCTTCTCCTTTCCTCCCACTCCACATTCTCTCTTCTCCCTTCCTCCAACTGCCTCGTCTCTATATAATTTAAAATATAATCCCTTCTCTCCTCTCCCCTTCCTCCCACTTTTACAAGAAGTAAATGGGAGGGGGGGCTGCGCCCCCCCCCAACCCCCCCGCTCTTTACTTCACGTCACAAAAACAGTCTCGTCTCTGCTCCTCTGATTTTCAAACAATGAAACCTGCCAAAGTCATTCCTTTATTGGGAGTATGGCCAGAACCCCGCGGGGCGGTGACGACGGCCAAGACAACCCTGCTCCCGCAAAGGGAATCAAGGCCCTCAAGCAACAGTGCTGCCGCCGCCTTATCAATGGAAGCCCACTAAAAGCCTTCGAAGGCCTGTTTCCGCTTATCAAGATCCTTAACGTGCTTCTGCCGGCTCTGTTCCCACCGCCTGGTCAACATGTCTCCGCATTTGTAACTTCACGGGTGCCCGGTGCAGCCTGGGTGCCTGGCTTCATGCTTGATTTCGTGCTCTTGTTCGCAATCGGAATTCGTGTTTCTTCACCTTCGAAAAAGCCTTGGAAGCCTCTTCGCTTTCACCTTTGAAGCTTTCGAAGCTTTTGAAACCATCGCTTGGATACTTGGCGGTTCGCTGTCTAAGAGTTGCTTGAATTGGTTCGTTTCCCAGTATTAAAAGGTTGTCATGCAAATCAATGCACATCTTAATCTTTTTACAGCATTTTTCATGAAACATAAAAGACACAAACACTGCACCGCACCCGTAAGCATGCTTCCGCAGCGACACTACACTAGCGTTTGGAAAGGAACATCGTCACGTCGGAATGCTGTGTTGGCGTGCGTGTTTTAGCTTGACAGAGCGGAATGCTACGAAATGCCACATCCTGTAAAGTTCCCTCTGCAGCTTGACGGATTTGGCATTCCGGGTTCGTAGCCCCTTTGGCTCAAGTCTTTTTACAGGAAATCGGTGGGAGGCCTGTGGAAACAGAAAGTCCCATATCTTTGGCGCAGAGCTCAAACTCAAATTGCTTTACCCAATTATTTGCGAACGCTTTGCACACGCTTTACGCGCAACGCAACAAGGTTTGGTACCACCCACCCAACTTTGAAAGCATTCGGGAACTCTTCTGCGGAGCATTCGGAAAAACGGAAACCCTTTTGTGGAGCATTCTATTCGCGTTACGAATCCAACCTCTCTAACTCAAGTGCGGACACAGTCTTTTTCACTTGCAGGCCTTTTCGCCAAAAACGTCACAAAGTGCGCAATAGTAAACGAATTTGCAAGCTAAATGCACACACAGAAAGCAGTGTATTGGGTAAAAAACACACTTGCACAATTTTGTTGGAAAACCATCAATGCCCAATTACTCCGAAGCAAACGAATCTAAGCAAGCAGACACCAAAAACACAACCACAAAACCAATGCTTAACCATTAACAGAGGTCAGAGGCAAGATCCAACGCAATGCTGGCAGTTCAAGGCGCACCAGTGCACAGGCACTGCGCAATAGAGAGATTCAAAGCAGCTGAGAAAATTGCAGCAAATGTTTTGGTTTCTAGGTTAACACCGTGGGACGGCGCAGAAGCTATGGCTCCCATGGATCAATTGTTGGAAGAACCGCTGGCGCGACCCTGGCAAGCTGGAACTGATGGACATTTTATGCACAAGACAACCTTGCCATCTGCTGGGCGCATTGGAGTGGTCCCAGGTT